TTCAGATATACGGATACCATTGTTAGAAGTTAGGAGTTTTGCTATACAAAAACTGTAGTTGGAAGTTACAAAATAGTTACTTTATTTATATTTATCTCGTGCTTTCCAAGAGCCACAATGTTCTTCATCTTTCAAAATTTTTTGAAGAAATTTATTCTTCATTCAGTCTCATTGTCGATCAAGGTAATATCTACTCATGGCTGAAGCTTTTATCACAGCTGACAACTGTTTTGTTCCTAGGACAAAGAAGGAAGACGAAGAAATTGAAACAATCTACAATAAATATAAAGACATGATCGAGGGATGGTGACAATGTCTTTCGATATCGAGGTTTTTGGTTCTTTTTCAAGCATACTCCCGAAATCATGTGGGTGTAGCAACATTTCAATGTTCTACCCTCTGATGTTTACTTGGCTTCATATCAAAATTTGGTACTACTTGGCTTAAAGCTCTAGTTTTCTCTGTAATCTATGGGACTAACTATGAGTTTTCAGCTCATCACTTGCTTACAACTAGCATCCATGATTGTGTTCCCTTTATGGAACTTGACCGTTTCAGGAACCCTTCTATTGTTGACCCTGAAGTCCTTCCCTCTCCTCGTCTTCTTATTACTCATATACCTTTCACTTTGTTGCCAGATACCATAAAAAAATATATATAAAAAAAACTCTTCCTGTCCGATTGTCTACATATGTAGAAACCCGAAAGACGTATTTGTTTCCTTTTGGCAATTCCCGAAGAACTTGAGTTCCAGAGATCTATCATTTGCTTCATTCGAAGATGCATTTGACATGTTCTGTGAAGGGATTTCCCCATTCGAACCTGTTGATGCTCGATTTTAGACACCAACTACTCGCACATGTGAAATGCTAAGAGGACTTAGAAGTCATACATGATATGGGAATACTAAGTGAAATAAGGGGCGAGAGGCAATGTTTAAAGTGGTTCGGATGCTCAAAAGCGAATCCTACGTCCACTGCTATTGTATTAACAAGAGGATAAAGGTCAGGTCACGTTCAACGAGCTGAGCTACCGTTTAGAGAGAAAGTAAGCTATTTAGAGCAAAATTAACCAATCCCGCAAATGAGAGGGAATGCCTCTATTTATAGTGGGAGAAACCAAGGTAATGATTACTAAATCTGCAAGTGGGTGGGTACTATGCAAATCCTTTTCTGCGTCCCATTTTTCACATGCCCGAGGGATTTTCTTGACTTATGCAGGGTTTGGACACGTGGACGATTTCCAACCACCTACTAGCCTGGCACTCACCCACTGCACTGACGGGGGCGTGCCACTTGCGCCATTACGCGACGTGATTGTGTCTAGATGGTCACAAATCCTTCCCAAGTTCTGACCATCACATGCTGACAAGGCTCCACGTCAGCCCTACCTTTTCATGCATAACAGGAACCTTTTGGGATCATGTTTTAGAATATTGGAAAGCAAGTTTAGAGTTCCCCAACAAGGTCCTTTTCTTGAAATGTGAAGAAATGAAAAAGGAGCCCTTACTCAATATAAAGAGATTGGCGGAGTTCTTGGGGCAGCCATTTTCCTTGGAAGAAGAAGAAAATAGGATTGTGCATGAAATTGTTAGACTTTGTAGCTTTGAGAACATGAAAAATTTGGAGGTGAACAAGACTGGTATCTATGGTGTTCAAGGTTCTAAGAACAATATCTTCTTCAGGGAAGGTAAGGTTGGAGATTGCAAGAACCATTTAACAACTGAAATGATGGAGAGTCTAGACCAAATCACAGAGCAAAAGTTCCATGCTTCTGGCTAGATGTTTTAGTTTGATCCGAGATCGACCAGTTTGCCATTGTGCTTGTTTAAATTGGAGTTTGTATCCTAAGATTTACTAGTTTGTCATTGTACTAGCATAAATTGGAGTTCAATTTTTTTTGTTTCTTAAATTATGTTTCTTTCATCAAATGCAACATTGTATGAACAATATAATATTGTTTATTCCTATAAAAAAAGGAGGGATTAAGAGGATGTCGAGAAACTAAGTTCTTTTTTCACACACTAGTAAATATGATCAAAACTCAATGAAGAAACCTCTCTGCTTGTGGCCGGATGGTAAAGTTTTTAGCATTTATACCCAGGAGATTCGTGTACGAGTGGCAGTAAGGTACTTACCAAAAAAAAAAACATGATCAAAACCTCTTAACAAAACAGATCAAATGCTTCTTCTACTTGGGTGTTTGATAATTCCTTCCCAAAGAAACAAGAACATTTTTTTGGTCTTACAATTGTACAAATTCGACAATTACAAGATTTTATTGTTTAATGCAAGCAAAACAAGAATGATTAATTTTTTACATTACTGGTATGAAAGTGTTATTGAAACATCAACATTCACAACAATTATAGTTATCTGAAAGCAATTCCTTTCGCAACAACATAGCTTTGAAGCATGGGGAACCTAAAACAACTGAAAACTCAAGCAAATCACTTAATTTTTTTCCTCAGAATTCCATATTCCAATTTCTGAATACCCATCTTCAGTAGCACAAGCTCGAAACATACATGTGGTATTGAGAGGCATGGTGATTTCCCCTGTGGAAGACACAGCAAACAACCCAACAGTGCCTCTTGGAACGCACTCCTCTACAATATGAGTTGCTGCTTCCTTCAGAGAGAGACCTATAAATTCCATAAGAGCAGCAACATCCCTCGCAGCAGTAGCTCGTATTATTGCTTCACCCTTGCCAGTAGCAGAAATTGCACAGAGGTTGTTTGCGTATGTTTCTGCACCAATGATGGGTGTATCCCCAATCCTACCCACCATTTTGTTAACAAATCCACCCGTAGAAGTTGCAGAAGCTAATTAAATTTCCTTCATTATCAACAGCTACACATCCAACAGTTCCAATTTGGCTATCACCATCCGCAAGTGGAGTTTCATTTTGGCATCCTTCGGAATTGGCCGCGTATAATCTAACTGTAGAATCATAACTATGTTACAAGCATGTAAATAGAAAAACCAATCAAAGTGATTCAAACATAAAAATCAGTTTTAAGACACGCGGACATTAAAGTCAAGCCAATGAACAACCAAAAATAATGTAGGAAGTACTAAGGATACATGCATGCATCTTTTAGATATTGTTCAAAACCAGGAAAACAACAATGTGGAGATCTTCCTTCCAAAAAATATCGAACTGTATACAACAACATTATATTGCATAACTTCTTGAGAAAAGTTGCTTACAGCTGTTTTACTTTTAATAATAATAAGACAAGTTCAGAGCAGTGTCACCACAATATGAAAATAATCAACGAAACGTAGGGGAACCAACAGAACTTCAAATTTAAATCAGAGCGAAAAAAGACAGGCCCTCAGCTATACAGGTATGAGCTTAACATAAACAACATAGAGGAGGCAGAGTAAGATTGTAACTAACTTGCTCCCTAGCAAAATCCTCTGCTCCATCAAATGCAAGATAAATATGAGGAGTCTTCTGCATGACAAGTCGTGCAAGAGATATAGGATTAACAACAGTGGTAAGTCCAGAAACAGCTCCACATCTCTTTGTTTTTCCATCCATTATGCAAGCTTCCATCGCAACCGTGCCTTTGGTGGTTAATACAGATCCCCTACCCGCATTAAAGTTTGGATGGTTTTCTAGTTCACGAACCTATTAAGAGCAAAATCAGCAATAATACACAACAAAAAAGACTATCAAATCGACAACTATTCAATGATTCACCACACAGCAGGCTCATTCACAAACAACTAAAATCTTTCTTTGCATTATTTGTATTATGCAATTATTTTCCCACAATCATACATTTCCTTAATCAATTTAACTATATACATAGCATCTTATAGATTTGTAAACCTCAGATAGTGAAGATGAACTTTTATTTGAATGCAATTGATGGGTTTGAATGAATTTTTATTTGATTTGGGCTATAAGTTTGTATTTTGGGCCAAGAATCCCTCTACACGGATATTGAAGATGAACCTTGTGGTTTGATGTTTGCTGTTCTCAACTTTGATTATAAAATTTGAATTAGGTGGTAGATGATGGTGATTTTACAATAATTTATTTATACTTTAGGGTTGATATTAATTAATAATAGAATGTAAAGAAAATATTTGCAATTGATCTGAATCGTTCAACCACATCCTACAAGTTACAATCATCTCCTATGGAAATGGAAGTAATACAAACTCTACATTAATTTAACCATCAAAGAACAGAACAGAACAGAACATATCACTAATCTTGGGTATAAAACTAAAACATTAACCCGGGACCATGGAACTTTTGCTTTGCAATTTCATCAAGACGTTCTGCCATTTCATTTGTTAGATGATTCTCCCAATCTCCAACCTTTCCTTCTCTAAAGAATACATCGTTTTTAGTGTTGCGAACACGGTAGAATCCATTCTTATTCACCTCCAAGTTTTTCATTTTCTCAAAACTACATAGTTTCAAAATTTCTTGCACAGTCCCATTTTCTTCTTCTTCTAAAGAAAATGGCCGACCAACAAACTCCGCCACTCTCTTTATATTCAGTAAAGGCTCCTCTTTCATATCTTCATATTTCAAGAAAAGGATCTTGCTTGGAAACTCTAAACTTGCTTTCCAATATCCTAAAACATGATCCCAATAGGATCCACACGGAGAAATCCCTTCACAAAACATTTCAAATGCATCTTCTAGCGACAGTGGAGGCAGATCCTTGGGTTTCACCTTCATCACGAATTGACATAAAGAAACGAGCACATCTTTAGGATTTCTACAAATGTAAACAATCGGACAAGATGATTTTTGTATGGAATCTGGTAACAAAGTGAAAGGTATATGAGTTGCAAAAATACGTGGTGATGGAAGAACTTCAGGATCAGCAATCGGAGTGGTCTTGAAAAGGTCAAAATCCATGAAGGGAACACACTCATGGACACTAGTGGTAAGCAAGGGGTGAGTTGAAAAATCAAATCGAGTTCGATTCATTATAGAGAAAAGGAGAGCTTTAAGCCAAGTAGTACCTGATTTTGGAGAGGAGATAAGGTAAACGTCAGTGGGTCGAGAGATGAAGTGTTGTTGCATCCACATGATTCCTTCAAGACCAACCATGGGTTGAAACCAAAAACCTTGATATTGACAGAGATGCTGAGTCGCCCAACCTCTGTTTCTTGGAAGGGTTGCGATTATGTTTCTGTAACTGTTGTAGATTCTTTCGATATCTTCTTCTTCCTCCTTTGATTTAGGAACAAAGCATTTCGCAGCTGTGATCAGAGCTTCAGCCATGAGAATGTGCTGTACTGGCCTGTCAGTAGCTACAGAGTTCTGAATGAAGAACTTTAGGAAAACCTGATACGAGAAAGATTAACCGTGCTAATTTATATCAGCAATAATCACAAAATCTATAAAAAAACATTCATAACTAAGATGTGTAGATTACCACGTTAGAGTTATAAAAAAAAATTATATAATTGAGTTGTAAGAATATTAATTGAATTGATTAAATAATGGTGGAGTACCAAATTTGTTTAAAGAAAAGTCCTAAGTTCAATGAATATAAAAAAGTCACGAATTTAGAGCTAGGCATTTAGGACCGGGCCCAAAAGCCCAGCTCTAAAATCCGGTCCTTGAGAGGACTGGACCTAGGAGGCCTGGTCCCGTTTTGGGACCAGGCCTAAAGAGGAGGGTGCGGGCCCTCCTCCAAGGCCCAGGCCTGGGCCCAAAAAATTTTGTATTTTTTCAATGTAGTCCCTTGCCAAATCACATAAAATCCCCTGTTAATTTTAAAATAAATATAAATTACGAGGATTAAAATGAAATTTTACAAAATTTATTAAAAAAAAAAATCTTTCAGGTCTAAAAAATTTATAAATTTTACCCCTAAAAAATACTAAAAACCCCCTATAAAATTTTGTTTTCCCCCTAAAATATAAAAAAATTGAGGGGGGAAAAAAATTATCCAAGGCCCATGGGACAAGTCCCGACCAAGCCTAGGGCTTGGTCCGGGTCTTGGTTTTTCTCATGGGCCTGGGACCGGTCCCAGGCCCATGAGTGACTGGGACTGGGCCCAGGCCTGGGCCTGAGCCCGCAAGGGACCAGTCCCTTGCCCACCTCTAGTCACGATTATATATTGAGTTAATTACATGGAACTATACTTGGTAAAACAGGCGGGTCGGGTGGGTATGGACCCAAAAGGACTGATTTTAAATGGGTCCAATATTTTAGGGCCGTATCTAGTCTATGCGAGTATGGGTATATCCAGTTCAGTCCAATCTTCAATTTTTACAATTACACCCCCATAATTTCTATAATTTTCATTTTTTACAGTTACACCCCTACAATCAAATCTTCTAAATTCAATTCAATTCAACACACAAGTTCACAACCAAGAACGTGTAGAAACTTATAGCAAAGAAATCGGAAGGATAAACTTTAAAGCAATCAGATCCGATTCAAAAACTTCTTCAGAGAAAGCAGAGGACTTTTGTGTGTTACAGAGAAAACTCGTTCAAAGAAAGCAACATTTTCCCTTCGAGTGTTGTCGAATGGAAGAGACAAAAGAGTTGGATTCAAAAATTTGTTCAGAGAAAGCACTGTTACGAGGAAATTTAGCTGATAGGCCTTCCCAAGTTTCGAATTGAGAATATAACCTTGAAAAGGTTTTTGATTTTTTTTTTATTTTAAAAATCTGACCTGGCACACTTAAGCGTAATTAAAGTAGCAAAAAAGGTTAGGGTGAAAAGATTTAAATGTTTGTAGGTTAAAGTATAATAAAAAGAAGTTGGTTTAAAATTTGAAAGACAAAACACATTCCTCCGTCATTAACACCTTCTTCTTCCTCCCTCATTAACATCTTCTCTGCCAAAGATCTGCCTCTTCCTACTCCTGACATTTCGTCCAGAGATGTGTATCTCCTCTTTGCATTTTATATTTTTATTTACAAAGATTTAAAGATAGATTGGGTTTGGGTTATGATTTTGATTATGTGGTTTAGGTTCTTGGGTAGTGTTTGATGTAATACAAGTTGAAAGGAGTGAGATTTGTTGATGATTTTCTTGCATTGTGCGTAGCTGGGGGTGGTAGCACCGATTATAGGTGAAGATGACTGAAAATGTATTCTGGAGCAAATGGATCGCTTAAGCGATCTGGTATAAGTCTGGTATATCGCTTAAGCGATCGGGTATATGGCAATAGATCGCTTAAGCGATCAGGCTTATTTATACTAGATCATTTAAGCGATATACTGGATCGCTTAAGCGATCTAGTAAGCGATACACCAAATCGTTTAAGCGACTCATCAAATGTTTTTTTTTAAATCTATCTAACCCTTAATATATCGGTTAATAACTTTTTTTTTTTATGATCGCTTAAGCGACCAAGGTTAAAAGCAAAGGATTGCTTAAGCGATAGAATAAATCGCTTAAGCGATCGTGCGTCTGGGCACTTATTGATTCTGTCTTGTTTGTGATCGCTTAAGCGACCAAGTGTTAAAGCGTAGAATCGCTTAAGCGATTACATAAATACAACCAGATCTCTTAAGCGACTAAGTCTAAATACGCAGGATCGCTTAAGTGAGAAATGAAATCTCTTAAGCGATCCAGTGTGTTCGGATTATTTTTATTGTATTTCACTAGATCGGTTAAGTGATTAACGCTATCTTAAACATATAAGGTGTATGATTCGTTCAGTGGACCATAACCATTATTATATTTTAATTAAATTAATTCTTTTACGGCTATATTAAACATATACGGTGTAGAATGTTTACGTCTATATTAAACATATCAGGTGTATGATTCGTTCAGTGGACCATGACCGTTATTATATTTTAATTAAATTAGTTCTTTTACGTCTATATTAAACATATGTCCATAAACATGGAAAAGAAATATTGAAGGAAATTACCCTTAATCACTTAAGCGATCCCGTCTATTTAGCCTTGGTCTACAGAGTGCATAGCAGATGGTTGCAGAGTTCAATTTTATATCAATATTATATTTTTTATATAGTACTTTCTTGCCAAGAACTAACAACAATAATAGAATGACAATAGATCTTTCAGTTTTATGTACGGTGTTGATCGACAAAGACCGAAATGTTCTTTTCACATTCTATTGAAATGAAAAAATAACTAATAAAAAATGACTAAATATTAAAAAAACATTACGGAATATAATTTTTCACTCAAATGTTCACAATATCAAAAGATTCGCTAAGCGATCGCTAATAAGTTATTAACCGATATACTAAGGGTTAGATATATTTTAAAAAACATTTGCAGAGTCGCTTAAGCGATCTGGTGTATCACTTACTGTATCGCTTAAGCGATCTGGTATAAATAAGCCTGATCGCTTAAGCGATCTACTGTCATATGCCAGACTTATACCAGATCGCTTAAGCGATCTAGTATCGCTTAAGCGATCTGCTGCTCTATACCAAACTTATATCAAATCGCTTAAACGATCCATTAGCTCCAGAATACATTTTCAGTCATCTTCACCTATAATCGGTGCTACCACCCCCAGCTACGCACAATGCAAGAAAATCATCAACAAATCTCACTCCTTTCAACTTGCATTACATCAAACACAACCCAAAAACCTAAACCACTAAATCAAAATCATAACCCAAACCCAATCCATCATTAAATCTTTGTAAATAGAAATATAAAATGCAAAGAGGAGATATACATTCCTCTGGACGAAATGTTAGGAGTAGAAGAGACAGATCTTTGACGAAGAAGATGTTAATGGGGAGGAAGAAAAAGGTGTAATGGTGGAGGAAGAAGAAAGTGTTAATAGTAGAGGGAGAAGAAGATGTACAGGAAGAAGAAGATGTAGACGAAGCTCAGAAGAAAACAACAACCAGGGGAAGGATGCTTAATGGCGAAGGAAGAAGAAGAGGTGTTTGGGTTTGTTTGCAAGATTTTCGACTCTTTGGAGATTATATAATTTTTAAAAGATTACACAATTATTATTAATCATAATAACCACTAATCATGTTTAATTATTAGCTTAATCAAAACAAGGTCATTTAGTTAAAATTTACAACTCTATAGCCTTTTAATTAAATTTAAGTTAAAATGGTGTTTTAATAAAATGTTCGTTATGGACTATTACGAGAGAAAACTCATTCAAGGAAACAAATTTTTTCCCTTCGAGTGTTGTTGAATGGAAGAGACAAGAGAGTTAGATTTAGGAATAGGGATTTACTATTTACGTTAATTTTTTAATTTTTACACGGGTACCTGCAAGTATACCCGACCGACTCGCAAAAATGGGTTGGGTCAGTACAAATAAAAAAAAAAAGGGGTCGAAAGTGGTGGACTCGTACCATATATTATTTTTATGGGTAGGGTCCACCTACAGGTATGGACCTGTTTGCCAAGTATAAATGGAACTTGCCTCTTTCATATTTTTATAAGAGTATAAGAAAAATTATTAGGTTAACACAAATACCCTAGTCTTTAAGTTTTCGTTAACGCTTTGTTAGGATTATTTTCCTTACATCCCCTCCAATATATTTAGGATTATTTTCCTTACATCCCCGCCAAGTTCCCCGGTAATTAGCACTCACAACCTATTATCGTCAATTTTTTGTGTCAAAGTTAATTAAGGGAAGGGTGAAATAGACCTTTTTTGGTAAAAAAAAGCAGAATTTTAAATTACATAAATTTTTAGAAAAAAAAAATTAAAATAAAATATATTTAAGATTAATAGTACTTTTAAAAAATACCTTTTTTTTTATCACAAGATTTGTCAACGATTAGAGATCACCAAAACCCACATTCTTAGAGTGCTAGAATTGCACTTTTTTTTTCTTTTTTTTATTATTAAATTTTTCAATTTACAAACAAGTTTTTTTTTTCAGTTTTTATATTTTACTTTATAACATTACTTTAATTTGTCATCACAATTTATTATTTAGAAAAATAGTATTTAAAATTATGTATCAATTTTTTAAAAAATTTAGTTCACAAATATAATGTTAAATAAATTCATGTGGTTTAATAGATTGTTTTTATTCTTATTTTTTTTTTCGCAGTTTTTTTTTTTTAAGAAACATATATTTTTTTTTTTTTTTTTTTTATCAAGTTACATGGATATATGGTCAAATCTTCAAATATTATGGGCAATATGTAATTGCAAAAGATGGAGGCATCATTAAAGGTATTTGCCTCAGTTATATGGTCTTTAGAAATTAAGAAAAAGAAAAGGAGATGTGGTTCGACAATCTAAAAATGGTGGTTCCGGGAATAAGAGATTGTCAACACCTCTTTCGAAAAAAAAGTAAAATTTTTAAAATATATTTAAATCTTAAAATATATTTTATTTCAAGAATTTTTTCCAAATAGTTTTTTTATTTTGAAATATTTAATTTATAATTTTGTGTGTTCTATCAAATTTCTATTTTGTCTTTTCGTTAGTTAAATTTGACACTCAAAAAGCGTAAAAGTGTAAGTGGCTAATTCATGAAACTGTCATATTTTGTTAGAAGAAATATTAATGTGAGATGATACAAATTATATGGCCATTAAAGCAATAGTGATTGAAGGAGGGGTATGGTTATCTATAGCAACTTATAAGATGTTTATTATTCCCAAAGGAAAGGAGACTGTCTCAACCACAAAAGTCTTAAACGAGTGAAGTGGGTCGAACCATTGAATGTTGTACTATCTGCACCACACCCCACTTACCTTCAAGAACAACCATGGATGGGAACCAAAAACCTGATATTGGAGAATAATCGCAATAGACCACCTCGGACTTGTAAGGATTGTGATGCCGAGATATTAGCTGTTAGGGGATTGTCCTCAACAGTGGCATTCAGATATGTGGATGATTTGTTTATTAATCACTACATTTGGATCAAAATGTAATTTATCATTTATTTTTAATTAAATTTATAAGAAAAAAATCGGTATCTTATTCTCAAATGAAAAATCAGATATATGGATACTGTTGTTGAAGTTGGGAGTTTTGCTGTACAGAAACTGTAGTTAGAAGTTGGGAAAGAGTTACTATAGTATATATTATCTCAGCTTTCCAGAGCCACAAAGTTCTTCATCTTTACAAATTTTCTGAAGAAATTTATTCTTCACCGTCTCATTGTCGATCAAGGTAATATCTACTCATGGCTGAAGCTTTATCACAGCTGAGAACTGTTTTGTTCCTAGGAAAAGGAGGAAGAAGAAGAAATTGAAACAATCTACAACAATTATAAAGACATGATCGCAACTCTTCCGGAAACCAGGTGTGGGATGGTGACAATGTCTTCAATATAAGGTTTTGGTCCCGTTTCAAGCATACTACCGGAATAATGTGTGTTGCAGCAACATTTCAAGGTTCGAACTCTGATGTTTACTTGGCTTAAAGCTTAGTTTCTCTGTAATCTACCGGACTATATGAGTTTTCAGCTCATCCCTTGCTTACAACTAGTGTCCATGTTGTGTGTCCTTATGGAACTTGACCTTTTCAGGAAGCCTCCTATTCCAGACCCTAAAGTCCTTCCCTCTCCTTGTCTCTCACTACTCATATACCTTTCACTTTTTTGCCAGATTCCATTGAAAAAAAAAAAAAAAAACTCTTCCTGTCGATGTCTACATATGTAGAAACCCGAAAAATATTATGTTCCTTTTGGCAATTCTCTGAGAAGTGAGCTCCAGAGATCTGTCCACGCTTCATTCGAAGATGCATATTGACATGTTTTGTAAAGGGATTACCTGTTCGGACCCTTTTGGTTTGGGATCATGTTTTAGAATATTGGAAAGCAAGTTTAGAGTTCCCATCAAAGTCCTTTTCTTGAATATGTAAGACATGAAAAAGGAGCTCTTACTAATATAAAGAGATTGGCAGAGTTCTAGGGCCAGCCATTTTCCTCGGAAGAAGAAGAAAATAGGATTGTGAATGAAATTTGAACTTTGTAGCTTTGAGAACAAGACTGGTATCGATCGTGTTCAAGGTTCTAAGAACGACATCTTCTCAGGGAAGGTAAGGCTAACCATTTAAAAACCGAAATGATGGAGAGTCTCGACCAATCTAGAGCAAAAGTTCCCTGCTTCTGGCTTGGATGTTTTAGTTTGAGCCGAGATCGACCAGTTTGCCATTGATTGTTTAAATGGAGTTTGTATCCTAAGATTTACCAGTTTGTCATTGTAGTAGCATAAATTGGAGTTCGAATTTTGTTTTTCTTAGATTATGTTTCTTTCATCCAAATGCAACATTGTATATTGTTAATTTCTATAATAAAAGAGGGATCAAAAGGATGTCGAGAAACTAAGTTCTTTTTCACACACTAGTAAACATGATCATGGTATGAAAGTGTTATTGAAACATCAACATTCACAAAACAGCAACATAGCTTTGAAGCATGGGGAACCTTAAACAACTGAAACACTCAAGCAAATCACTTAATTTTCCTCAGAATTCCATATCCAATTTGAATACCCCTCTTCAGTAGCACAAGCTGAAACATGCCTTGTGGTATGATTGAGAGGCATGGTGATTTCCCCTGTGGAAGACACAGCAACCAACCCAACAGTGCCTCTTGGAACGCACTCCTCCACAACATGAGCTGCTGCTTCCTTCAGAGAGAGACCTTTAAATTCCATAAGAGCAGCAACATCCCTCGCAACAGTAGCTCGTATTATTGCTTCACCCTTGCCGGTAGCAGAAATTGCACAGAGGTTGTTCGCGTATGTTCCTGCACCAATGATGGGCGTATCCCCAATCCTACCCACCATTTTGTTAACAAATCCACCCGTAGAAGTTGCAGAAGCTAAATTTCCCTCATTATCAACGGCTACACATCCAACAGTTCCAATTTGGCTATCACCATCCGCAAGTGGAGTTTCACTTTTGGCATCCTTCGGAATTGGCTGTGTATAATCTAACTGTAGAATCATAATTACGTTACAAGCGTGTAAATAGGAAAACCATAAAAATCAGTTTTCAGGCATGCGGACATTAAAGTTAAGCCAATGAACAACCAAAAATAATACCCTGGTTAAAGAAACATAACCAAAAAATACATTACAATATGCCAAATGATGGAAAGTTGCAATTATATATAGTCAGTGCATCACACTGATATTATCCTCAGTTATCAAACCATGCTAAGTACAAATATTTTCATACTAGGTTTCTACTTTCTATCAAAACCACAGGAACATCAAACAGATGGGCAACCTTAATGGTAGTAAAATTCAACAAGCAGATAAAAGAGATAACTAACAAGTAAAAAATTATTTGAAAAGTTAAAAGCATCAGAGTTCTGAATCTCATTTATCTACATTTCTAGGAAAAAGAGATAACAAGCATACCTGAACTCTATTGGCTTCTTTTGCCTGCTTTAACCTTTCAACATTTTCTGGTGTAATAAAATGACTTGGATCTACAGTTTCAACACCCTGGACAATTTAAAAATCACAACCATATGTGACAATTTAGTCAAGATCAAGCACACATCTAATAAATGCTAGTAGGGATACACCTAACAAAGTGAACAACAAAAGATGATCAAAATTCAACTCAAACTAATATAGAGAAAAATACACAGCTAGCGTATGGAAATTCAGGAACAAACTATTTATGTAAAAAAGAAAAAAGAAAAGAAAAGGCTTCAAGAGATCTAGTTCACACAAAACTAGAAAAAACATTTCCATTTAGACAGAAAGTTTGATAAAGAGGTTTCTTCAGGTAGAGGAAAGAAAATTACCTCTCATTTTTCAATTTGATTAAACAACTACTAAATAATGTAGGAAGTACTGTGTATACATGCATCTTTTAGATATTGTTCAAAATCAGGGAAACAACAATGTGGAGATCTTCCTTCCAACAAACATATGTTTCAAGGAAAACAATGTTGAAGAGCGCACAAATTAGAAAAATAAGAGTACATCGAATTGTATACAACAACATTATATTGCATAACTTCTTGAGAAAATTTGCTTACAACTATTTTACTTTAATGATAATGAGACAAGTTCAGAGCAGTGTCACCACAATAAGAAAATAGTTAATGAAACGTAGGGGAACCAACACGAGCTCCATGCAAGCAAGTTTGCATGTAAACACTTCAAATTTAAATAAGAGCGAAAAAGGACAGGCCCTCAGCTATACAGGTATGAGCTTAACATAAACAACATAGAGAAGGCAGAGTAAGATTGTAACTAACTTGCTCCCTAGCAAAATCCTCTGCTCCATCAAATGCAAGATAAATATGAGGAGTCTTCTCCATGACAAGTCGTGCCAGAGATATGGGATTAACAACAGTGGTGAGTCCAGAAACAGCTCCACATCTCTTTGTATTGCCATCCATTATGCAAGCTTCCATCTCAACTGTACCTTTGGTGGTTAATACAGACCCCCTACCCGCATTAAAGTTTGGATGGTTTTCTAGTTCACGAACCTATTAAGAGCAAAATCAGGAATAATAAACAACAAAATGACTATCAAGTCGACAACTATTCAATGATTCACCATACAGCAGGCTCATTCAAAAACAACTAAAATCTTTCTTTGCATTATTTGTATTATGCAATTATTTTCCCACAATCATACATTTCCTTCATCAATTCAACTATATACATAGCATCTTACAGATTTGTCAACCTCAGAGTATTTTATATATGTTAAAGAAATATCACTATTCATAAGTAGAAGTCTATTTTGCACCAAAAAATAAGTAAAAAAAAAATTGAATATAATCTCAGCAATTTCATCAAGAATAAAGAAGGAACAAACATCCTAGTGTTTATCTTTGAACAAAGTAATGATAATTACGCTGATTAATAAGTTAATCGTCAGCCAAAACTAGATAACATATATACTAATTTTATAATCATAGTGTTAATCCATTCTTTTCTTAATTTATATAATATTTTTTCATTTCTTAAATAAACAAAAATATTGACTTTTTTGACAGGCAAATAGCTTTGCTGCCTTTGCAGATTTAAATAATAATCGTTTTAAAAGAAACAAACAAAAGAGTATATGCGAAGAGATACGGAGGTACCACAAGTTCGACAACATCCAAGGCGTGTCGTCGGGTTTTGAGAGCGTTGACACCGATGTCAAGGCAGTGGCGGAGAGCAACTTCGCGTGTCTGGCGACGCTCCGCCGGCATAGAGCGTGGGATGTCTCCGGCGCCGCCGTGTAAAGCTATGGCCCACCCCATTTTTTCCACTCTCTCACTCAACGAAACCAACTTTCGATCATTCAGTTAAGAGAGATGGAGTTGAGGAAATGACACGTCGTTTGTGTGTTTATAGAGAAATGGAGATTGGAGGGAAGGGAACAAATCATCTTGTACTACGTAGGACGTAGTGTTGAATAACTGTATTTCAGTTTTAACACTGGGTAAAAAGTAACTGATAATATTACCCCTATAATCTAAATGGGATCATTCGATTTAAGTTTAAAAAGAATTATTAATAGTGCAATTACATATTAACTACATATAATATAATAAATTACAACATTAACAAAATAAGATAATTTCATTAATTTTGCTTCTCGAAATTTCAGTTAGACTGTCTATGCATCATCTATTCTATATTTTAAAAAACTGCCTATATTTTATTTTATAATTAAACTTTTGCAACTTGAAATTGTTTATTTAAAATTGGACAATATATGAAGAATGTGACCTAAAAAAGTATAATATCTTGGGAAATAATAGTGAAGTGAACCTTTGGTTTTATGCTGATTGTTGAATTTGAAGAAGAATTATTGAGGGCTGTGTATGTAATCAAAATGTTGGATTTTTAATAAAAGCAAATGAGAGATGAGGTCAGGGCGGCCAATTTCCAATGGAATAAGAATATATTGTATAATATTCCCATCTTCTTTTTTAAGTGCTGATTTTAACCCCTCAGCATATATTCCATACATTATCATAATGCATGATTCTAAGTCATTTGGCAAGTTTTTATTTCCACCCATTACAGATTATCTAATTTAGAGTACATCCACCATTTTTTATATACTCAAGTATTATATGCTCCTTGTAGAGGCCCTTACACACGAGGTGTAAGTATCACCTAATTTATTTTACAAAAGAATCACGGGTCGAACCTTGAAATGTTGCTCACCTGCCCCACCACCCACATTACTCTTCAGACCAACCATGGATGGGAACCAAACCTTGATATTGGAAGATACTCGCATAGACCACTCTGGTCTTGTAAGGTTGTGATGCCGAGAAATTAGCTGTTGGAGTTTCCCCAACAGTGCTCATATCAGATATGTGGATGATTTGTTTATTTAATTTCACTAAATTTGGTTTTAATTAAATTTATAAAAAAAAAACGGTATCTTAATTCTCAAATGAAAAATCAGATTATGGATACTGTTGTTAGAAGTTGGAGTTTTGCTGTACAGAAACTGTAGTTGAAGTTGGAAAGAGTTACTATAGTTATATTTATCTCAGCGCTTTCCAGAGCCACAAAGTCTTCATCTTTACAATTTTCTGAAGAAATTTATTCTTCCTTCAGTCTCATTGTCGATCAAGGTAATATCTACTCATGGCTGAAGCTCTTATCACAGCTGAGAACTGTTTTGTTCCTAGGACAAAGGAGGAAGGAAGAAATTGAAACAATCTACAACAATATAAAGACATGATCGCAACTCTTCCGGAAACCAGGTGTGGGATGGTGACAATGTCTTTCAATATAAGGTTTTTGGTCCCGTTTCAAGCATACTCCCGATAATGTGGGTGCAGCAACATTTCAAGGTTCGACCCTCGATGTTTACTTGGCTTAAAGCTCTAGTTTCTCTGTAATCTACCGGACTAAATATGAGTTTCAGCTCATCCCTTGCTTACAACTAGTGTCCATGATTTGTGCCCTTATGGAACTGACCTTTTCAGGAGCCTCCTATTCCAGACCCTAAAGTCCTTCCCTCTCCTTGTCTCTACTACATCATACCTTTCACTTTTTGCCAGATTCCATTAAAAAAAAAAAAAAAAAACTCTTCCTGTCCGATTGTCTACATATGTAGAAACCCGAAAAAGTATGTTTCCTTTTGGCAATTCTCTGAGAAGTTGAGCTCCAGAGATCTGTCATCCGCTTCATTCGAAGATGCATTGACATGTTTTGTAAAGGGATTTACCTGTTGGGACCCTTTGGTTTGGGATCATTTTTAGATATTGAAAGCAAGTTTAGAGTCCCATCAAAGTCCTTTTCTTGAAATATGAAGACATAAAGGAGCTCTTACTAATATAAAGAGATTGGCAGAGTTCTGCAGCCATTTTCCTCGGAAGAAGAAAAATAGGATTGTGAATGAAATCTTTAACTTTGTAGCTTTGAGAACAAGACTGGTATCGATCGTGTTCAAGTTCTAGAAACGATTTCTTCAGGAAGTAGGCTAACCATTTAACAACCGAAATGATGGGAGTCTCGACAAATCATAGAGCAAAAGTTCCTGCTTCTGGCTTGATGTTTTAGTTAGCCGAGATCGCCAGTTGCCATTGATTGTTTAAATTGGAGTTTGTATCCTAAGATTTACCAGTTTGTCATTGTAGTAGCATAATTGGAGTTCGAATTTTGTTTTTTCTAGATTATGTTTCTTTCATCAAATGCAACATTGTAATATTGTTATTTCTATAATAAAAGGAGGATCAAAGGATGTCGAGAAACTAAGTTCTTTTTCACACTAGTAAACATGATCACTGGTATGAAAGTGTTATTGAAACATCACATTCACAAACAGCAACATAGCTTTGAAGCATGGGGAACCTTAAACAACTGAAACTCAAGCAAATCACTTAATTTTCCTCAGAATTCCATATTCCAATTTCTGAATACCCATCTTCAGTAGCACAAGCTCGAAACTGCCTGGTATTGAGAGGCATGGTGATTTCCCCTGTGGAAACACAGCAACCACCCAACAGTGCCTCTTGGAACGCACTCCTCCACAACTAGCGCGCTGCTGTCTTCGAGAGAGACCTTTAAATTCCATAGAGCAGCAACATCCCTCGCAACAGTGGCTCGTATTATTGCTTCACCCTTGCCGGTAGCAGAATTGCACAGAGGTTGTTGCGTATGTTCCTGCACCAATGATGGGCGTATCCCCAATCCTACCCCACCATTTTGTTAACAATCCACCCGTAGAAGTTGCAGAAGCTAATTTCCCTCATTATCAACGGCTACACATCCAACGTTCCAATTTGGCTATCACCATCCGCAAGTGGAGTTTCACTTTGGCATCCTTCGGAATTGGCTGTGTATAATCTAACTGTAGAATCATAATTACTTACAAGCTGTAATAGGAAAACCATAAAAATCAGTTTCAGGCATGCGACATTAAAGTTAAGCCAATGAACAACCAAAAATAATACCTGGTTAAAGAAACATAACCAAAAAATACATTACTATGCCAATGATGGAAGTGCAATTATATATAGTCAGTGCATCACACTGATATTATCCTCAGTTATCAAACCATGCTAAGTACAATATTTTCATACTAGGTTTCTACTTTCATCAAACCACACAGGAACATCAAGCAGATGGGCAACCTTAAGGGTAGTAAAATTCAACAAGCAGATAAAGAGATAACTAACAAGTAAAAAATTATTTGAAAAGTTAAAAGCATCAGAGTTCTGAATCTCATTTATCTACATTTCTAGAAAAGAAAACAAGATACCTGAACTCTATTGGCTTCTTTTGCCTGCTTTAACCTTCAAATTTTCTGGTGTAATAAAATGACTTGATCTACAGTTCAACCACCTGGACAATTTAAAATCACAACCATATGTGACAATTGTCAAGATCAGCACACATCTAATAAATGCTAGTAGGGATACACCTAACAAAGTGAACAACAAAAGATTATGTTGAATGGAAGAGACAAGAGAGTTAGATTTAGGAATTAGGGATTTACTATTTACGTTAATTTTTTAATTTTACACGGGTACCTGCAAGTATACCCGACCGACTCGCAAAAATAGGGTTGGGTCAAGTACAAATAAAAAAAAAAAGGGGTCGAAAGTGGTGGACTCGTACCATATATTATTTTTATGGGTATGGGTCCACCTACAGGTATGGACCTGTTTGCCAAGTATAAATGGAACTTGCCTCTTTCAATATTTTTATAAGAGTATAAGAAAAAATTATTAGGTTAACACAAATACCCTAGTCTTTAAGTTTTCGTTAACGCTTTGTTAGGATTATTTTCCTTACATCCCCTCCAATATATTTAGGATTATTTTCCTTACATCCCCGCCAAGTTCCCCGGTAATTAGCCACTCACACCTATTATCGTCAATTTTTTGTGTCAAAGTTAATTAAGGGAAGGGTGAAATAGACCTTTTTTGGTTAAAAAAAAGCAGAATTTTAAATTACATAAATTTTTAGAAAAAAAAATTAAATATAAAATATATTTAAGATTTAATAGTACTTTTAAAAATATTACCTTTTTTTTTATCACAAGATTTGTCAACGATTAGAGATCACCAAAACCACCATTCTTAGAGTGCTAGAATTGACTTTTTTTTTTTTCTTATTTTTTTATTATTAAATTTTTCAATTTACAAACAAGTTTTTTTTTTCAGTTTTTATATTTTTACTTTATAACATTACTTTAATTTGTCATCACATATTTATTAATTTAGAAAAATAGTATTTAAAAATTATGTATCAATTTTTTAAAAAAATTTTAGTTCACAAATATAATGTTAAATAAATTCATGTGTTTTTAATAGATTGTTTTTATTCATTATTTTTTTTTTTTCGCAGTTTTTTTTTTTTAAGAAACATATTAATTTTTTTTTTTTTTTTTTTTATCAAGTTACATGGATATAATGGTCAAATCTTCAAATATCTATGGGCATATATGTAATTGCAAAAGATGGAGGCATCATTAAAGGTATTTGCCTCAGTTAACTATGGTCTTTAGAAATTTAAGAAAAAGAAAAGGAGATCGTGGTTTCGACAATCTAAAAATGGTGGTTCCGGGAATAAGAGATTGTCAAACACCTCTTTCGAAAAAAAGTAAAATTATTTTAAAATAATATTAAATCTTAAAATATATTTTATTTTCAAGAATTTTTTCCAAATAGTTTTTATTATTTTGAAATATTTAATTTATAATTTTGTGTGTTACTATGAAATTTCTATTTTGTCCTTTGTTAGTTAAATTTGACACCAAAAATTGACGATAAAAAGTGTAAGTGGCTAATTACAAGGAACAAATTGTCAATATTTTATGTTAGAGGGGTGTAACAGAAATATTAAATGATGATAGATGAACAAATTAATATGGCCATTAAAGCAATATGTTAG